TATTACATTTTCTACCTAGCTTTTTTATCTTACATAATATTAGTACAAATTAAAAAGTTCTTTGTACTTTAATAAGAAAACACAAGTCAATTCTAAGCATTAGGTTTCTTTGAATTGATAATGTTTTTTTTATATATATATAGATATAATTTTTCATTTGACTGAAGACTGAATGACAACAATAAATAAGTTCAAAGTGGGTGAAACAAGGGACAAAAATAGAAGAAAAGCTTAAACACTAAACTGCAGAATTTAAAATTTAAAAAGTTAAATCTGACGTAGTGATAGAGTTAGTTTGAATTGAAAATGATAAATACAATAATTGAACAAGAACACAAGTTGCAATTAATTAGGTTGAAATTCACAATTTTTAATTACTTTGAGCTGCTGTGATTATCAAGTCAAGTCATCCAAGCCAGGCACACCAGAAATTATATACATACCTATAGATACATACATAATATATATATATATATATATATATATAATGTGTTGCCATTTGGGTGTTGTCTTCATTCATTTTCACATCCTCACGAAAACGCAAACATGAAAATTTTGTGGTTTCTTCAATGTCTGTTCTGCATGGCTATGCTTCTCATCAATCCCTCTGTTGCTCCCAAGTAACTACTTTTCTCAACAACCCTTCTCACAATCAAGTAACTCTTCATTTGGTTTATGAATCTGAGACATTGTCATAATACTTTTTAAATAAAATAACTGTCTTTGAAATATATAATTTATTATTGCTGTAGTTACTACCATTATTATATACAATCTCCCACAGATATAACTGTAGGAAACTATTCTGATTGCAGATTTCAATTTCAGATATCTATTTGATATTTTTCTAAACTCAGATTAATATGACAATATATCACAGATTCAGAAACTAAAAATAGGGTTTACTCTTTATCAAATCCTAAAAGCATTAAAAACAAACTTTTATATATAATTTTGTTTAACCATAAATAACTAAGTTCATGGTTGTAATGAGATGGGTTATTGTTTTATAACAGTGCACCAGCTCCTCCTTCAAGTGGTGACTTGACGGTACCAGAAGCACCCCCTCGACTGCAACACAAGGTCTCTGGTTCACGCCCATGAAGAATTTCTAGACAAGCTTATATATATAAAGTTTGGTTCTTCTATATGTAGTACTATCTCTTTTCTTCTTAACCTTTTTCTTCACCAGAAATAAGCCTAGACTACCGTGTCTTTAGCTATATATGTATAAAAAAGTTTGATCTTTCTTGTTGCGTGTGTAATAATAATACCTCTGTTAATTACCTACTGGTGCTGTCAGTAAATATTGAAAATCCATGGGTTTGAAACAGAATAAAAACTATATTTTAGTACAAGAATATTAGTTCTAAGTAATAACTAAACTTACCTTCAAGAATTGTATGAGTAGTACTAATTTACTGTTAGATTCTTTACGAAGTTAATGGTACAGAGTGATCTTGTTTCCATGCTAGTTTGGGATATAAAACATGCTCCATGGATGACAGGTACGCACCAATCAACAAGCCAAATAGTTTCTTTTAAGTAGGAATGGTTTTATTTTCAAAAATTTTCTAAGTTTCTGTTTCCTCTAGTTTACCTGTCCTACGATGACAGCAGGAGAAAATAAAAGAAATATCAGTTCCTTGCTTCTTATCTACTGACTGACCTACAATTATCTACACAAATTAAATAAATTTATGACTTTTTGGTTCCAACAGTTCACAAAATTCCTTGGAAAAGGATGAACTTTTTGTTTGGTGAAGGAGAGAGGCAAGAAACTGGTGAAAAATAAAAATGTAAGGAATTCAATAAAAGATAAAGTCAAATTATAGTGTATAAGTGCATGCAAACTTCATTTTACAAATCAATTTTATAAAATTGAGTTAGATTTAAATTTTACTTTATTAAGATTTGATTAAGAAAAATGAGTTGACAAATAAACAAGTGTAAGATCCACAATTTATTTATCCTTTTTTTTTCGTCTATCTCTTTTCACTTAATATTTTGTTCAATACTTTTCTTTAACTGTTTTTTATTTTCTTTCTATTTTTTACTTTGATTCACATCTTCGATTTCTATCCATCCATTCACAAAGTGGACCCTTTTAGTATGATGATTCAATTCTACCAGTTATGTTTATGAATACTAGTAATTTAGTAGGTACATAATAGTTTATCTAAATAAATCATTCCATTGAGACAAAGTAACTATGTAATCATTCAATAATATGAAATGAACTACTGAAAGTGTAGGTCGACATGACAAGTTTTCTCAAGTTTAAATTTTAGATATACAATCATATTAAATCTTAAAAGAGAATTTTGTAGTTCCCAGTGATTGTACCAGTGTCGGATAGAATTGTCTTCAATAAAAAATAGTTGTGGTCTCTACCAAAAGAAGCTTGTAATATGAAATTTTAGCTATATGATCTTAAAAAAACAAATTAACCTAATGGACTGATTTTATGTTGAATAGAACGTAAGAAAATTCTGCTATAACAAATAGAAACGAGTTTTTGCCTCCTTTTCTTTGCAATTTTCACGAAACCTATCCGATTACATCCTCATTTTACCTTATTTTAATGATTCAAATTACACATATCTCTTATAGTCTGTGCATGTAACATATGGTGGAAACTGGAAAGTTGGAATAAGCCATACCTTTCTGGAGAACGATGGAGTGGTGCATTGACTTGGCTTGTGAGTCGTCCATTTAGCCTTTCATTTCATGCCATTGAAATAGAAAAGGAAACTAGTTAGCATTAAGCAATTGAAAACAAAACTTCATTATCTAGACAGCTTTGCATGTAGCTGTGTTCAACTGACTTGACTAACTGCGGCATGATTTTCATTCCCTACACTAAATATTATATGATCAAGCAAGAAGAACAAGACAAAAAAAATGCAGTTGGCCCACAAAGCAGAACAGATAAAATGTGCCTACAACTAGGACTGGTATACCATGATTCAACATGTCTACATGCATTGTGTCGGATGCTGATTTTAGCCTGAAATTTTCCTTCCAAGTCTTCCAAGCCTTTCTGACTTCATCCAACTCACCATCTGGAATGCTTGAATAGTTTTCCAAATTCTCGACCCATTTTGCCCAAGGAGAGTTTGATGAGTCTAGGAACTTTGAAACTTCAGGCAACACAACACCAGTGTAGAACTCATCAACTGCTTTGAGAATTTGTTCTGATTCAACCATAGACACCATTTCTTGCCGTGTAAAGTTTCCAGCACTTGATCTCATTTTGAAAGCATTTCCCCTCAAAATCAGAACTTCCGGTGGAGCAAGTGGGAGGACAATCCGAGAAAACTTATTGAGTGACAACAGAACGATATCTTTTGGAATTAACTTGCGCTTTACAGCCACCGCAGTCCCAACCATCTTGCGTATCTGATTACTCATCCAGTTAGTGTGATTGTGTGATTAAGGTTAATGCAAAACAGGTCATCAGAACCAACCAAGAAGTGCATAAAGCTATATTTTATTATTTGAATAGAAAAGCGCCCAAAGTATAGCCCTTTACAGTGTTTAGATCCCCAATGTAGAACAGATCATCAGAATACTAAATATTTCAAGAGAACAATGTATAAATGCAGCAAATACACTGCAGTGTCCTGTTAAGAAACCCCAGTGTTGAAGTCATAAAGGACCACTAGTCAAATTCCAAGAATGAAGAGACAAGTCATTTGAATTATGTCCTATAGGCAAGCAAAAATTAAGGTTATGAATGGTCATAAAGGACCACTAGTTATGTAATTAAGTTTTAAATTAGCATTAAACTCTTACATGTCAGAATCAACNCTCCTTCAAGTGGTGACTTGACGGTACCAGAAGCACCCCCTCGACTGCAACACAAGGTCTCTGGTTCACGCCCATGAAGAATTTCTAGACAAGCTTATATATATAAAGTTTGGTTCTTCTATATGTAGTACTATCTCTTTTCTTCTTAACCTTTTTCTTCACCAGAAATAAGCCTAGACTACCGTGTCTTTAGCTATATATGTATAAAAAAGTTTGATCTTTCTTGTTGCGTGTGTAATAATAATACCTCTGTTAATTACCTACTGGTGCTGTCAGTAAATATTGAAAATCCATGGGTTTGAAACAGAATAAAAACTATATTTTAGTACAAGAATATTAGTTCTAAGTAATAACTAAACTTACCTTCAAGAATTGTATGAGTAGTACTAATTTACTGTTAGATTCTTTACGAAGTTAATGGTACAGAGTGATCTTGTTTCCATGCTAGTTTGGGATATAAAACATGCTCCATGGATGACAGGTACGCACCAATCAACAAGCCAAATAGTTTCTTTTAAGTAGGAATGGTTTTATTTTCAAAAATTTTCTAAGTTTCTGTTTCCTCTAGTTTACCTGTCCTACGATGACAGCAGGAGAAAATAAAAGAAATATCAGTTCCTTGCTTCTTATCTACTGACTGACCTACAATTATCTACACAAATTAAATAAATTTATGACTTTTTGGTTCCAACAGTTCACAACATTCCTTGGAAAAGGATGAACTTTTTGTTTGGTGAAGGAGAGAGGCAAGAAACTGGTGAAAAATAAAAATGTAAGGAATTCAATAAAAGATAAAGTCAAATTATAGTGTATAAATGCATGCAAATTTCATTTTACAAATCAATTTTATAAAGTTGAGTTAGATTTAAATTTTACTTTATTAAGAGTTTGATTAAGAAAAATGAGTTGACAAATAAACAAGTGTAAGATCCACAATTTATTTATCCTTTTTTTTTCGTCTATCTCTTTTCACTTAATATTTTGTTCAATATTTTTCTTTAACTGTTCTTTATTTTCTTTCTATTTTTTACTTTGATTCACATCTTCGATTTCTATCCATCCATTCACAAAGTGGACCCTTTTAGTATGATGATTCAATTCTACCAGTTATGTTTATGAATACTAGTAATTTAGTAGGTACATAATAGTTTATCTAAATAAATCATTCCATTGAGACAAAGTAACTATGTAATCATTCAATAATATGAAATGAACTACTGAAAGTGTAGGTCGACATGACAAGTTTTCTCAAGTTTAAATTTTAGATATACAATCATATTAAATCTTAAAAGAGAATTTTGTAGTTCCCAGTGATTGTACCAGTGTCGGATAGAATTGTCTTCAATAAAAAATAGTTGTGGTCTCTACCAAAAGAAGCTTGTAATATGAAATTTTAGCTATATGATCTTAAAAAAACAAATTAACCTAATGGACTGATTTTATGTTGAATAGAACGTAAGAAAATTCTGCTATAACAAATAGAAACGAGTTTTTGCCTCCTTTTCTTTGCAATTTTCACGAAACCTATCCGATTACATCCTCATTTTACCTTATTTTAATGATTCAAATTACACATATCTCTTATAGTCTGTGCATGTAACATATGGTGGAAACTGGAAAGTTGGAATAAGCCATACCTTTCTGGAGAACGATGGAGTGGTGCATTGACTTGGCTTGTGAGTCGTCCATTTAGCCTTTCATTTCATGCCATTGAAATAGAAAAGGAAACTAGTTAGCATTAAGCAATTGAAAACAAAACTTCATTATCTAGACAGCTTTGCATGTAGCTGTGTTCAACTGACTTGACTAACTGCGGCATGATTTTCATTCCCTACACTAAATATTATATGATCAAGCAAGAAGAACAAGACAAAAAAAATGCAGTTGGCCCACAAAGCAGAACAGATAAAATGTGCCTACAACTAGGACTGGTATACCATGATTCAACATGTCTACATGCATTGTGTCGGATGCTGATTTTAGCCTGAAATTTTCCTTCCAAGTCTTCCAAGCCTTTCTGACTTCATCCAACTCACCATCTGGAATGCTTGAATAGTTTTCCAAATTCTCGACCCATTTTGCCCAAGGAGAGTTTGATGAGTCTAGGAACTTTGAAACTTCAGGCAACACAACACCAGTGTAGAACTCATCAACTGCTTTGAGAATTTGTTCTGATTCAACCATAGACACCATTTCTTGCCGTGTAAAGTTTCCAGCACTTGATCTCATTTTGAAAGCATTTCCCCTCAAAATCAGAACTTCCGGTGGAGCAAGTGGGAGGACAATCCGAGAAAACTTATTGAGTGACAACAGAACGATATCTTTTGGAATTAACTTGCGCTTTACAGCCACCGCAGTCCCAACCATCTTGCGTATCTGATTACTCATCCAGTTAGTGTGATTGTGTGATTAAGGTTAATGCAAAACAGGTCATCAGAACCAACCAAGAAGTGCATAAAGCTATATTTTATTATTTGAATAGAAAAGCGCCCAAAGTATAGCCCTTTACAGTGTTTAGATCCCCAATGTAGAACAGATCATCAGAATACTAAATATTTCAAGAGAACAATGTATAAATGCAGCAAATACACTGCAGTGTCCTGTTAAGAAACCCCAGTGTTGAAGTCATAAAGGACCACTAGTCAAATTCCAAGAATGAAGAGACAAGTCATTTGAATTATGTCCTATAGGCAAGCAAAAATTAAGGTTATGAATGGTCATAAAGGACCACTAGTTATGTAATTAAGTTTTAAATTAGCATTAAACTCTTACATGTCAGAATCAACAAAGACTTACTTGATGTAACATGAAAGAGTCCCCCCATATATGGATCTCTACATAATCATATCCCAGAGATGTTTCCAACTTCCCACAAGAACAACGAAAAACATTTCTGAAATGGGAAGCATTTAATCTATCTTTCTCATCTGGTTGGTGTAGCCATCTTGCACGAACTAGAACATTAGAATTTTGACTACTCAAGCCATTGGATTCACTAGACTCTGGAGGCTTGTGGCTCTCTTCCTTATCACTTAATGTGGTTGGAATGCCGCCCTCAAAATCATAATCATCACTGTCCTCACCCTCTGATTCACAACCTGATGCCAAACTAGATGATCCTAATCTGTCTGACATGACATCACTTCCAGATAATTGCCTTACTTGGTATTTTTTCCTGTACTTAGATCGAACAGTATAATTATGGAAAGGATGCTCTCCCTGAAATAATAACATCAACGAATACAAAAAGTAAATAAATACCTGATTTTAAACGTTAGAACTAATTATAACAACTTTAAAATCAATACCTTAGCCTCCCCTACTATATGACTTCTTTAATTGACAGTTAGTTATTAAAATTGATTTTTTTTTACACTTAGTTTTCACGTGTACCCCTTGAACTAATGAAATTATTACATGAGTATCCTGTGTTTTACAAATATTATACAGGTATCCCTCAGTTTCTTTAAAATATTACACATATATCCCCTTTCTTTTAAAACATATTACATGAGCATCCCCTATATTTTACAAAACTAACATACAATACCTCTGTCAAATATGGACCACAAATGTTTCTCACAAAACATTGTTGAAACAAATTGCATTACAAACTTTGAATATTGACACCATTGACACAGCCCAGAATTAAAATATCCCACTCAAAAACACCTACTACAAACAGAGAAAACAGATTATCCACAAAAAAAGTGGAGAGAAAACACAAGGTGCCCAATACTTCAAAACTGCAAGGACATGGGTGTTTAATGAAGGAGATAATGACATTTTTTACATTGGAGGCTTCATTAAAAATCACGTGCAGATCACATGCTGTGAATTGTAAACAAGGTTAACATTGTTTGCAAGGGAGGGGTACAACTATAAAGGATGAGGTATAGTGGGGAAAGATTTGTGTAAGCATGCAAGAGCTCAAACCATAGTATCATTATTATGTACATTGTA